GTTAATAACCCATTTATGTAAACGAAAACCTTCAAGCGCAACGAGTCTTATTAGGTTATTTGCCAACTCGGCAGCTTCTGGTATTGTTTCTACTGAGACTAGACAATCGTCCACATAAAAATTTTCTCGTAAGGTGGACTGGGTTTTTTCATCAAACAAATCTCGGTGGTCTGTAGCTGTACGTCTTAAAGCATAGGTAGCGCAAAACGGCGAGGACGTAGCCCCGAAAGGGTGTACATGCAACTCATAGACCTCAGGAGGAGAATCAAGATTGCCATCGGGATACCATAAAAAGCTGAAGGCCTTTGTATCCTTTTCGGGTAGATGTACCTGGAGGAACATTTCTTCAATGTCTGCTGACAATCCAATCTTATGCTTTCTGAATCTAAGCAAAACTCCCACTAGGTCGTTTGTAACATCTGGTCCAGAATATATACAATCATTTAGAGACCTGTTTTGTAACTTAGCAGCACAATCAAAGACTATCCGAAGTTTACCTGGTTTTTTAGGGTTAAATACGGGATGATGTGGAATAAAATACCTTTCTTCTTCGATAGCTTGAGTTACTCGAGACAAATATCCTTTACTTTCGTGGGTAGCTAATATAATAGTATACTGTTTCCGAAGCTGTTCGTGTTTTAGCAACCTTTTACGTAGGTAAATTATTCGTTTTTCTATTTCGCGCTTATTCCTTGGAAGTGAGTGCCAATCCACCTTCCAGGGTATCGGCACTTGATAATGTCCATCGAGCAATACTGTTTGTTTGTCAGTGATCTCCATAATGGTCTTATCACATAGGGACGTGGTAACCTTATCAGAGTACTTATTTTCAGAAAATTCATGTTCAAATAATTTGAGAATATCCTCCTCAAAGGAATTTTTCGCTTTTAAACAGTTCATGAAGACTGAAGTTTTATTAGGTTGACCCGTTGGTCCAAATGAAGCCCACCCTAACATGATTAGTGAAGCATAGGATTGTTTAGGTTTTCCGATACGCTGATCGAGTACCCAGTGGGCCTCTGGAACGTCAACACCAAGTAACAAACCAACCTTGTCACAGGCTATGGTGAGTAGTTGTACACCTTTCAAGTGTTTCCATCTTTCTTGGAAGTCCGTTGGTGGGATTTCTGCTCTTTTAATAGGTAGGTTATCTATAGTATATGCACCTTCGATTTTTATTCGGTTGGTCTTATCTAAAGACTCAATTTCGAAATTGGTAAGTTCAGCGTTCTGAGATGACGCTCCAATTACCGAAGATATGTTTAATCTTGTCATTGTACCAGAAATTCCTACCTGTTTGCCACGTCACTAAGCAGTAATGTCGAGTTTGAGCCATTATCTAACAATGCATAGGTATCCACGATGTCATGTGGTCTGCCGAACCGTTCATGTAGAATTTTAATTGCCTCAGTGTAACCTTCCTTTTCTGGTAATAAAACGCAGTGTTCTATAGCATCCTTTGCTATACCTTCGCAATAGTGTATGAGGTACATTAATTTCTGAGTGTCATCACTTACTCTGTCAGCTATGTTAACCTTGAATCCCTTCATGAACGTCCAAGCTTTCAGAGGGCTCCCGTCAAATTTCGTGATTTCTACCTTCGGTAAGCTTACTGACATACATAGAGCCTTGACGCTATCTACCTGTGCTTTGAATTGCATTTCATCACTCGAAGGTACATTGGTGTATCGGAGACTTGCTGTAACTACCAAGATTTTATCCTCGGATCGAGACCCCGACAACTCGGTAGTCTCCCCAGGTCTTCTCACTTTGTTTGAAGAGTTCGGAGTTAGCTCTAACAATCGCTTGCGTAGTTGGAGTTCTCTAATCTCCAGCTTAAACTTTCCTACTTCCCTTTCCCTAGAAACCACTAAGTCTTCTACGCTGTATCTAGTCTCTACATAGTTGTCTCCTACTGAGCAACTGTCTTTGGGGTTACGTTTAACAATATCAAAGGCAAGATTTAAAGGAATAGGTGAATTCACCTTAGAAACTGAAGGAATAATATTTTCAGCACTGGAATTGTCTGTGTCTTGGGAACTGTCATCGTTGTACTTTATTCTTCTCGTTCTAGTCATCGTTGGGATGAACGAACCAAATAGGATTCCGACCAAATTCGTTACAGCAAGTATTCCCTCCAATTAGGAGCAAAGTTCAGAACTGTATCCACACCAAATGAGACGAAAGTTGAGAACTGTTATCCACACCAAATGAGACAAAAGTTGAGAACTGTTATCCACACCAAATGAGACCAAAGTTGAGAACTGTTATCCACACCAATAAGACCAAAGTTGAGAACTGGTATCCACACCAAATGAGACCAAAGTTGAGAACTGTTATCCACACGAAATGAGACCAAAGCTGAGAACTGTTATCCACACAAATGAGAACAAAGTTGAGAACTGTTATCAACACGAAATGAGACCAAATTTGAGAACCGTTATCCACACCAATAAGACCAAAGTTGAGAACTGGTATCCACACCAAATGAGACCAAAGTTGAGAACTGTTATCCACACCAAATAAGACCAAAGCTGAGAACTGTTATTCACACAAATGAGAACAAAGTTGAGAACTGTTATCCACACTAAATGAGACAAAAGTTGAGAACTGTTATCCACACCAATGAGATCAAAGTTGAGAACTGTTGATTCTATCGAAGCGTCGAAGTAACCCCGATTGAGATACGCGCAAAATCGAAGTTCCAAAACAACGATTTGTCTACAAAAGTGGTTCTTTATTAAATAATACACAAAATTTAGTTACAAACCTCAACTGGTGAGGTGTCTAGGCGTTTAAACGCGTCTTTCAAGAATGAAAATAGTAAAGGCTTCGATAGTCCAAAGACAGCCGATAGCAGTTTATGAACAACCGAAACTGGAACCAAGAGCAAACAATATGGAAACTGTTGCGTTTAAGCAAATGCATAAAACTGTGGATAACCGTTACAGCAAATAAATTACAGTGATTATAATGATAAATACAATGATAAGTAAAATAAACGTTAAAGATATATGTGAACATTTCAGAATGTTACAGTACAACCTGAGTTATAACATGATTGTGAAAATTGTTGGGCATACAACTGCTTACTGAATATAAATAAGTAGTATAAACCAACATACAAAAGAGTAGGAAAGGAATGAGCGGGAACAATGTAAAACAAAATTAACAGTCTCAATGTCGGGGAACATGTTGGAGCATGGTAGATACGATTGGAAGATTCTCTAGACAAACTGAAATTAGGAAGAATGTGATCGAACTGCTGCAAAATGCTCATCTGTATTGTGAAGTTATTATGCCTTCAGATTTCGATGGCTTGTCGATTGGATTTGTGAAACAACTTGATTATCGATCACTTATTTATTGTCTACAGGTTTCCTGAAATATCTTAGAATATCTCTTAGAATCCTCTCAATTCAGCTTGTTTCCCTCCTAGTGTTCATTCGACTACGACCACTCTCCCCTAAACGGTAATGTTCTGGAGATCTAAATATGAATTTATTAGGGTACGAATTGTGTAGCGATATCATTTACTTGGTGATTACATTGCAGAAACAAATATGGAAGTTCTACAGATAAAATATCTCTCTATAACCCTGAATAAATAACTCATTTTTCCCCTAATAGATGATACTAATAATGATAATAATGATAATGAACTGTTTCGAACAGTTGCATACTCTGACACCCATCAAATATGTCATGCATTTTGTTCATGCACATCCAGAACACTTCACCTCGTGCAATTCATTTCAACTAGTTATTACTTTACTAAAATAACGGAAGAGATCATATTATCGAAATCATGTCACTCTCAGTGTCAACTTCCATTGCGTTAATCTACACAATTGTTAAAAGTCTTGATATTGTTAATTAAAATGTAATTGTTGATTAGTGATAGGATGATAGCAATACAAGTGTCAAGTAATGATTTCACTTAGTAATAATATCGACATTTTCACTGTCTTTCTCTGATGAAACTGGGTCAAATTCATTAGGTGTTTCGTCTCGAGAATTCCACTCCTGATCCAGTGCATCAACAATAATTTTCCCACTTTCATCAGACATTCTCGTTGACTCTCGTGGTATATTACAAGGTGAATGAACACTGTTTCTAGGCCATACTAAACACTTCATTATGGATCCAACTGATCGTAGTCCACCTCGACGAATGATTGTAACACATGTATCTGGTTGAACTAGTATATATCGACCACGAAACATCACTTGCCTGTAAACAAGTACACAGTAATGAGAGTACACATTAGACTGACTACATGGAAGTTTCATTATTGGTAAAACTGTTTGGAAAACAAACCACTTGAAATTATTTACCTTGCATTGAACATCTGCACTAGTGTATCTAAACTCAATTATGGATTACTGTCATATTAATCGATCCAATAATCCATGTTTTTGTAGAAGCTAAATAGTCTCATGCATTTTACTGGCGGTGACCAACTGTACAAAAGTCTTGTTTGTGTTTCTGAGCTATTGGAATTTGTGTGATCCTCAGTTGTATTTTCCAACGTTTCAAGTGACCACACTGTGGAGCAAGATATCATCGTAACGAGCAACACTAAACAATTCGGCATTGTTCTTGATCAAATAGTGAAATCAACCATTGTGGGTCTGTTTATATCATTCATGTCAAAAGAATAAGGTGAAGTGTAGGATTTACGTGTGATAGTTTCGTGACGATTATGGGTTTCTAAGTAAAAAATAATATATTTGTAATATCTCAATGAGTCGAAATTTAGATTCTTCTGACTTTTCGTGACTTAGTGTAAGTCACTTCTTCACAGAATAAATAACCTAATTAAAATTAATCCACGTATAAATAGCACAACGGAACAATGCAAGAATAATATTGGATCAATCAAAAACAGGTCAGAACAAGTTAATGTCATGTCATTCCGGTCAAGATGATTCATAAGCGATCTGTATGTAAATTAGTGCGTGTGGGTATTGTTCGATAAGATTTAAAGAATAAGGTCAAAAGCGAGTGCATAGTATTAGTTTATGCTACTATATCTAACTAGATCGCACGTATTCTTAAATTGGATGTCGATAAAATTAATTCACAGTAACATGATATGACCTATATAAAACAGCATATATAATGCAACTACTCGACCTACTGTGTTGTGCATAATATTAACCCTTTTCACGTCCATAACTAGTTTGAGGAACAATGTCAGTCAACTTGTTCTTCCTCGTCACAGTAATGTCTTATACAACTGTGTATGCAGTTGTGAGCAACCCTACAACAACTGAGATGAACAGCAATACCAGTGCATCGAATAAATCATCAAGTCTACTGAATTGGAGAAATACAATCTCACAATGTGTTCGATTGTATATGGAACCAAATCAACTTGGTGATTGGTTTGATATATGTGATAGTAATGAGCTGCTCTCATCAACATGTGTTTGGAGAACCAAATCGATTTGTACAACTGGAAATACGAATGCATTCAGAAAAACATATTGGTTAATATATGAGTAGGTTTGTCCAATTTGATATGATCCGTTGTGAGGTTTATGTTGTTAATGTGCATCCACGAAGCTTTGTCCACTTATCGGTTAATTCTATTCTCATGAAGTTATGTCACGGAATTCATTGAAACCCACTAGAATTTAATAATAACGCATATGATTTGTAATTCATGATACAATCCCAACCAACTGTCATGATGATTTCCGGTTCTCTATGTGGTATGTCTTGTATTGGTATATAGAGAACATACTGTTTGTTGAATTTCCGTAAACTAACAAAATTGAAGATCACCATTCATTTTGTTGTGTAGAATTAAGAATTAGAATTAATTGATTGGAGACACGAAATTAATTTCACACAGTGATGATGAAGCGTTGTAGACGAGTCCATGTGTGTATGTGTGTGTGGTGATATATTTCGTCTTTCTATTCAAGGTTATCAGTTGATTCACGAAGTGTAGTTGGTCGACTTGCTTTAGATAATCCGATTACATGACGAATGGAAAGAGTGTTTGCTTCGTTTTGAATATTTTCGGATTACAGGTAGGTAATTTTCCCAATTATCTGATGCTTCCATTGTCCCCTACCAAAGATCATCAAATGTGAAAATATGAATATAAAATGAGATAATATCAGTGAGAATATCAGTTAATTTTGTACACCTTACCTGTCTTCGTTGGTTTTCAGCAGAACAAGTTATGTGTGTATCTGTGATCAAATGATGACACGCAAATTGTGGTTCAGTTGATCTACACTTAAGCAGCATCCGTTGAATGAATAATTAATGTCTAGAGTAGTTCTAGAGCAAACACATTCCACAGAACTGTGATACTTTCAGATCTATAAATAAATTGAATTAATTATCATCATGATTAATTTATGATTTTCATATCTACTTTTGCACGATTTTATCCATCTTTATTTAGACGATCTCATTTCGCAGGACCCTACATACTACTCGGTCCCAGTAAATGTATTGACGATATAAATCAGTATAAACTTTCGGCAACTATGTCAATACTGATCTGTGTAGAGAGATTAACGGCAAAATGGGATGTTGTCGTTTCTTGTCAATATCCAAAACGACCATGGAGGGAATTTTTCCCAGTAAACTGGCACTCTGATTATAACGTCATATCTAAATCTGGAACGGCATCAGCTGATGAGGCAGAAGCTTCCTCACTGGAAGAAATAGCAAGTTTGGTAGATCTACAGAAGAACAGTGTCAACAATAAATAAGTACAAGTACAATCTCTTCGTGTTAATTCCGTTCGTCAAATATTCACGTGCATGCGGATATCAGTCTACTATGAGAGAGTGAGAGAGAGAGAGAGAGCTGAAAATGATGTTTGTAGTTGTGTTGAATCAATGGACGTAGGTAGTTTGATCTGAATCACGATGAATATTGACTGATATTTATGACGGATAATAGTTCAATATCCATTGTTTTGTGTCTTTATACAACACTAGTTATCACGTAATTTATTCGCAAATGAAAATACTACTTATTCACTCGTGTACTGTACTAATCGAATGACGTTCGTTCGGTCTGATCAGTCTAGCGTCCTATTAATCCATTGCTCGTCTAGCCCGTCCCTCTGAGTCTACAATGCCAACAACGGCTTCCACTATGCGAATTATTTATTTCAGACATACTGGGTTTATATATCAACCAAACAGACCACAACGCACCATAAGTAGGAAATAACATTTACACACAATAAAGCCAGAAAGTGACTGTGAACGTGGGAGACCGTAATCAATAAACTCAGTATAACTTATGAACAGAAAATCATGTTATAACAATAATAATAATAATTATTATTATTATATTAATCTGTGGATCAAAGCGAAGCTTCTAATAAGTGGAATATAGATATACCTATTCTAATCACTGAATAGTTATACCACAGGAGTATATAGATAATGTTAGTCCATTAATAGATCTCAGGAGTTACTCGTCATTTAATCTTCGCTAGGATATAACATATTGTTAGTGGCAGATGTTATTGGGAAAAGTGAATGTTAAACACCAAATTTCAAGAATACGAAAATGATGGTGTTCTAAACAATTCAACCTCCTAGTTCACCGACATTAATTAAGCTGGTTGATAATCATCGAGTTGTGAAAATATAACTTGTCAGTCCACGTCGTTCCGATCAGTAAAATTTCAATGCAGTGTTGCACAATGTTCCATCAGAGAGTTGACCGAGAGAGTAGTACAGATTGTTTTGTAAGAACGTGGCATTTATCCAATTCTCTGTTGTAAGTGAACATTCTGTTCTCCAGAGTTATTTTTCATGACCTACTATTTGAAATGTCATTGTAAATAACGTACAGTGATCATATGAATAATGGATTTGTATAGATACATAATGAATAATTTCCACTCACTGGTCAATGAGAATGACTCTACAAATAATTGATGCTTAATTTGAGCACTCATAGACGTTCAACACATTAACCAAATTTGGTTTTGTGGGAACACATGCTAGACTGAATTGCAGATTGAAAAGAAATAACTACACTCTTTCATTGATTACGTATTTCAATTATCTTACCATACTACTTGGTATTGTACAGTAGATTAAATGATTATCAATCAATTTGAAGCCTTCCTCTCTGATTTCTTTATTGAAATGAACTGCTCATCTTAAATATTGTTGTCGATTTTTCTGAAGTTTCGAACCACTTTACTGTTTGCAGTTGTATCGCCTGTCTCATTTGATTGTTTACTCCCTTTGAAGTATCTTACTACTCTGTAGAAATTTACTGTAGACGGCTTGTTTATTTCGAATCGATGGATATTGATTCACTCTGTTAACTACTTATATGCTTCTTAGTCTGTTGAAAAAATGAGACATAATACAGGGAAAACAGGAATTTCAGGATACTTGAATGTTTATTAGTGAATTAGGAAAGGAGTTTTCATGGATAATTCACTTATTACAATCCCTTCATTTGATCACATTATCTGATGTCGAATATAGTTATATCATCACTTTTATCTTATTCCTCACTTGACTCGTATACAAGTTGAATTTGATTGCATAGGTAGTTTACATGGTGAATTGAACTGTTTTCAACTTATACTAATAAGCATTTACCGGTTAGCTTAAAAGTGAGACTTGTGAACTTTGAATATCCACATGAACGATTGCTTGTAGCCAAACATTAATTTAGGTAAACGTTTATTGTTTATGTTGCACAAAGTTAGCGGATAAGCTTCGAAGGATTTTGTTCAAGATAAGAGAAGAAAATGATAAGCTATATGAGTATCATACTAATTGAGTTGTGGATTTTAAATCACGTCTAAATTTGAACAATACTCCGTTGTGCTATCACACTATATAATAGGTATATACTTTGTCCATTAAAATATGCAACGCAATTATATTCGATAGAGTAAATCTCTAGTACCGAGATATAGTAGATATTGTCAGATTTTGTATATACTTTTACTTATTAATTGACTGACTGACTCAATAAATGACTAGCTGACTGATCGTGGATAAACTACCATTGTAAGCCAGCAAACATTGCATTGCTGTTTTTCTTAGTGAATTTTATATAGGACAATGTGCAATAAACTAGCATAACGTCAGGGGTTATTCTATGAAGAGCACAGGATCTCATATGTATGTCTCCAATAACTGGATGCGAACAGGAGAGATTTTGATATCTGAATATTTGGAATTAGCATAGAATAATATTCTCCTTTTTAAAATAAAGACCAGATATTTGGAGTGAAAGCGAATTGGTGACATTGAATAAATAGAAATGACCTATGTCAATCAACGCTATGATGGTAAATGTTTCTCTGTGATTGTCGTTTCAATGATGGATTTCGTGCAACAACTATATCGATGCCCAATTACCACTAACTATTTCGTTGTGATACACCAAAATGTGTTTGTGCACATGATGATTTGAGTTATGTGAATATGAAATATGGGACTGTGTATGAGTGATTCTCTGTGGTTGACTCAGTTTCATAATACATTGCATGACCTACTTCTCATGAATGGTGTGTTTTGTTACTGGTGAGCAATATTAGGCAAATTTGATTGTAATGCATGACCGATGCGGATCAAGAAACAACTTTCAAGCCAGCATGCAGATATCCAACTAATAACGTCATTCTCCTCTTCACCATTACTCAGTTCAATAAACAAAGCGTGATAGATTTGTTGAGAAGCGTTATAATAGTGAGATATTGATTCATGTGCCATTGTGGATGCTAAGCTGTTATAAGGGTACTCAATGAATTGCTGGTTGGAGTAATGTTTAACTGTAATGTTCACTAGCGAAATAAACCAATGTGAAGAGATTATTTTGACACATGTGTGATAGTATTCGTACTCTCAAGAACAAATATTTGAGTACTGATGATGATTAGTTTTCATCCAGCTACCTAGTGGTCAACAGAATAGTATAGACCAAATATTTGGAAGGCATTTTGTAGTACATGTTTTGCTGAACAGACCAAACAAATATGCAAGTCAAAGTGACATGGAGCCTTACGGATAAACATCTCCATTACATTCAAGATAAAAAAAAAATAACGAGAAATCAGTGAAAGTTATACTACCTTGTAGATTACTGTATTTTCGTAATAAATTACGCATCGATATTTGATATGTTCTGGTTGACTGGAATGAGCCAACTGTTGCCTACAGTCACTGAAATTCAATATTTCCATCGTCACCTCAACAATACCTTGTTGATCCTGATTGGCTTAGCACTATCACTAAATTTCAACGTATATTCAGAAGGGTGGGAATGAAGAATAGGGACGATCCGATCAGGTTTGTATTGCTATTTTATCACTAAACTTTATAGTTGAAATAAGCACATTGACTACAGTATTCCACTTTCTGAAAGTTTCCAAAATGTTTTCAGAACTTACATGCAAATAGGGAAGTTCGACTGCTTATTTGATAATGTATGTCACGTAATTTAAAGATAAACTTCAGAATGCTTTATTCAGCTGACAATTGTGTGAACATAACAAGTCTATTAAATTCAAATTCATTTTACTCATTTGAAACTGGTATTTAGATAGCTGATACTTTAAGTAATGGACTGAGTCATACAAGCAAGTCGACCAACTACACTTCGTGAATCAACTGATAACATTGATTTGAAGGACGAACTACAGGTCCACACGCAAACACACACAGTTACTCGTCTACAACGCTTCATCATCACAGTGTGAAATTAATTTCGTGTCTCCGATCAATTAATTCTAATTCTTAATTCTACACAACAAAATGAATGGTGATCTTCAATTTTGTTAGTTTACGGAAATTCACCAAAAAGTATGTAGTCTATATACCAATAAAAGATGTACCACATAGAGAACCGGAAATCATCATGACAGTTGGTTGGGTCTGTATCATGAATTACAAATCATTTGCGTTATTATAAAATTCCAGTGGTTTCTAATGAATTCCGTGACATAACTTCATGAGAATAGAATTAACCGATAAGTGGACAAAGCTTCGTGGGTGCACATTAACAACATAAAACTCACAACGAATCATATAATACTGACTAACATTGTTCAACTAATTAATTGTGGAAGTGAAATCGGTTTATATTATGCACAACACAATAGGTCGAGTAGTTGCATTGCTCAGGCCATTTTCATGTCGATCATGTGATGTGAAAAATTATTTAGTTTGTAGGAAACGATGTGTCAACCGATCACATGCATCCCATTCTCTATGCATGAGATATTATCATTACATAATCAGTTAGATTTGACCGCACAATGTTGTGAAGCAATAATATTCAACTCTACACCATCTTCAAATTTCAACATTTTCATGTCGAATGATTAACACTTGTTTAATTTGTGTATGTCAAATCATTTTATCATGAAAATGAAATGAGAGCGTGATGCATGGTGACCAACTGTCAGTTCTCAGTGGAATCGAACATGTACACAATCCTGTGATGTGAAGAGGAAATCCCATGGAGTGAGACTTGATAAGGACCAGTGAAATGTTCACATGTATTGATATGACTAATGGATGTGTTGTTGGTGTCATTGTGTTATCATTGTTCTCTTGTCACGGAACATGTTTTAGCATGGTAGATACGATTGGAAGATTCTCTAAACAAACTGAAATTAGGAAGATTGTGATCGAACTGATGCAAAATGCTCATCTGTGTTGTGAAGTTAGTATGCCGATTCGATCTGAGAGAATTTGTGTGATCGGATCACATGTGAAGGGAATTAGTGAGGTGTCGAGTAACACTCATTTGTTATTTTGCGAAATTCATTGGATTAAACTTGATTGATCTACAAATCATTCAATCAGTACAAGAATGTGATGTGATGTGCACATTGATTGTATACTGTTGTTATCATACTGAAAATGTCACTCAGTATATAATATTGTCTTCATCAACAACTCAGGTTCATTAACAACACTGACATTTCTCTCAGTCGATTAGTATCGATGTGATTCATGCTTCTTTATCAATAGATTAATTCTAATTGACTTCAGATTTCGATGGCTTATCGATTGGATTTGTGAAACAACTTGATTATCGATCACTTATTTATTGTCTACAGGTTTCCTGAAATATCTTAGAATATCTCTTAGAATCCTCTCAATTCAGCTTGTTTCCCTCCTAGTGTTCATTCGACTACGACCACTCTCCCCTAAACAGTATTGTTCTGGAGATCTAAATATGAATTTATTAGTGTACGAATTGTGTAGCGATATCGCTTACTTGGTGATTGCATTGCAGAAACAAATATGGAAGTTCTACAGAAAAGATATCTCTCTATAACCCTGAATAAATAACTCATTTTTCCCCTAATAGATGATAGTAATAATGATAATAATGTTAATGAACTGTTTCGAACAGTTGCATACTCTGACACCCATCAAATATGTCATGTATCTTGTTCATGCACATCCAGAACACTTCACCTCGTGCAATTCATTTCAACTAGTTATTACTTTACTAAAATAACGGAAGAGATCATATTATCGAAATCATGTCACTCTCAGTGTCAACTTCCATTGCGTTAATCTACACAATTGTTAAAAGTCTTGATATTGTTAATTAAAATGTAATTGTTGATTAGTGATAGGATGATAGCAATACAAGTGTCAAGTAATGATTTCACTTTGTAATAATATTGACATTTTCACTGTATTTTTTTGGTGAACCTGGGTCAAATTCATTGGGTGTTTCGTCTCGAGAATTCCACTCCTGATTCAGTGCATCAACAATATTTTTCCCACTTTCATCAGACATTCTCGTTGACTCTCGTGGTATATTACAAGGTGAATGAACACTGTTTCTAGGCCATACTAAACACTTCATTATGGATCCAACTGATCGTAGTCCACCTCGACGAATGATTGTAACACATGTATCTGGTTGAACTAGTATATATCGACCACGAAACATCACTTGCCTGTAAACAAGTACACAGTAATGAGAGTACACATTAGACTGACTACATGGAAGTTTCATTATTGGTAAAACTGTTTGGAAAACAAACCACTTGAAATTATTTACCTTGCATTGAACATCTGCACTAGTGTATCTAAACTCAATTATGGATTACTGTCATATTAATCGATCCAATAATCCATGTTTTTGTAGAAGCTAAATAGTCTCATGCATTTTACTGGCGGTGACCAACTGTACAAAAGTCTTGTTTGTGTTTCTGAGCTATTGGAATTTGTGTGATCCTCGGTTGTAGTTTCCAGCGTTTCAAGTGACCACACTGTGGAGCAAGATATCATCGTAACGAGCAACACTAAACAATTCGGCATTGTTCTTGATCAAATAGTGAAATTAACCATTGTGGGTCTGTTTATATCATTCATGTCAAAAGAATAAGGTGAAGTGTAGGATTTACGTGTGATAGTTTCGTGACGATTATGGGTTTCTAAGTAAAAAATAATATATTTGTAATATCTCAATGAGTCGAAATTTAGATTCTTCTGACTTTTCGTGACTTAGTGTAAGTCACTTCTTCACAGAATAAATAACCTAATTAAAATTAATCCACGTATAAATAGCACAACGGAACAATGCAAGAATAATATTGGATCAATCAAAAACAGGTCAGAACAAGTTAATGTCATGTCATTCCGGTCAAGATGATTCATAAGCGATCTGTATGTAAATTAGTGCGTGTGGGTATTGTTCGATAAGATTTAAAGAATAAGGTCAAAAGCGAGTGCATAGTATTAGTTTATGCTACTATATCTAACTAGATCGCACGTATTCTTTAATTGGATGTCGATAAAATTAATTCACAGTAACATGATATGACCTATATAAAACAGCATATATAATGCAACTACTCGACCTACTGTGTTGTGCATAATATTAACCCTTTTCACGTCCATAACTAGTTTGAGGAACAATGTCAGTCAACTTGTTCTTCCTCGTCACAGTAATGTCTTATACAACTGTGTATGCAGTTGTGAGCAACCCTACAACAACTGAGATGAACAGCAATACCAGTGCATCGAATAAATCATCAAGTCTACTGAATTGGAGAAATACAATCTCACAATGTGTTCGATTGTATATGGAACCAAATCAACTTGGTGATTGGTTTGATATATGTGATAGTAATGAGCTGCTCTCATCAACATGTGTTTGGAGAACCAAATCGATTTGTACAACTGGAAATACGAATGCATTCAGAAAAACATATTGGTTAATATATGAGTAGGTTTGTCCAATTTGATATGATCCGTTGTGAGGTTTATGTTGTTAATGTGCATCCACGAAGCTTTGTCCACTTATCGGTTAATTCTATTCTCATGAAGTTATGTCACGGAATTCATTGAAACCCACTAGAATTTAATAATAACGCATATGATTTGTAATTCATGATACAATCCCAACCAACTGTCATGATGATTTCCGGTTCTCTATGTGGTACATCTTGTATTAGTATATAGAGAACATACTGTTTGTTGAATTTCCGTAAACTAACAAAATTGAAGATCACCATTCATTTTGTTGTGTAGAATTAAGAATTAGAATTAATCGATTGGAGACACGAAATTAATTTCACACTGTGATGATGAAGCGTTGTAGACGAGTCCATGTGTGTATGTGTGTGTGGTGATATATTTCGTCTTTCTATTCAAGGTTATCAGTTGATTCACGAAGTGTAGTTGGTCGACTTGCTTTAGATAATCCGATTACATGACGAATGGAAAGAGTGTTTGCTTCGTTTTGAATATTTTCGGATTACAGGTAGGTAATTTTCCCAATTATCTGATGCTTCCATTGTCCCCTACCAAAGATCATCAAATGTGAAAATATGAATATAAAATGAGATAATATCAGTGAGAATATCAGTTAATTTTGTACACCTTACCTGTCTTCGTTGGTTTTCAGCAGAACAAGTTATGTGTGTATCTGTGATCAAATGATGACACGCAAATTGTGGTTCAGTTGATCTACACTTAAGCAGCATCCGTTGAATGAATAATTAATGTCTAGAGTAGTTCTAGAGCAAACACATTCCACAGAACTGTGATACTTTCAGATCTATAAATAAATTGAATTAATTATCATCATGATTAATTTATGATTTTCATATCTACTTTTGCACGATTTTATCCATCTTTATTTAGACGATCTCATTTCGCAGGACCCTACATACTACTCGGTCCCAGTAAATGTATTGACGATATAAATCAGTATAAACTTTCGGCAACTATGTCAATACTGATCTGTGTAGAGAGATTAACGGCAAAATGGGATGTTGTCGTTTCTTGTCAATATCCAAAACGACCATGGAGGGAATTTTTCCCAGTAAACTGGCACTCTGATTATAACGTCATATCTAAATCTGGAACGGCATCAGCTGATGAGGCAGAAGCTTCCTCACTGGAAGAAATAGCAAGTTTGGTAGATCTACAGAAGAACAGTGTCAACAATAAATAAGTACAAGTACAATCTCTTCGTGTTAATTCCGTTCGTCAAATATTCACGTGCATGCGGATATCAGTCTACTATGAGAGAGTGAGAGAGAGAGAGAGAGAGCTGAAAATGATGTTTGTAGTTGTGTTGAATCAATGGACGTAGGTAGTTTGATCTGAATCACGATGAATATTGACTGATATTTATGACGGATAATAGTTCAATATCCATTGTTTTGTGTCTTTATACAACACTAGTTATCACGTAATTTATTCGCAAATGAAAATACTACTTATTCACTCGTGTACTGTACTAATCGAATGACGTTCGTTCGGTCTGATCAGTCTAGCGTCCTATTAATCCATTGCTCGTCTAGCCCGTCCCTCTGAGTCTACAATGCCAACAACGGCTTCCACTATGCGAATTATTTATTTCAGACATACTGGGTTTATATATCAACCAAACAGACCACAACGCACCATAAGTAGGAAATAACATTTACACACAATAAAGCCAGAAAGTGACTGTGAACGTGGGAGACCGTAATCAATAAACTCAGTATAACTTATGAACAGAAAATCATGTTATAACAATAATAATAATAATTATTATTATTATATTAATCTGTGGATCAAAGCGAAGCTTCTAATAAGTGGAATATAGATATACCTATTCTAATCACTGAATAGTTATACCACAGGAGTATATAGATAATGTTAGTCCATTAATAGATCTCAGGAGTTACTCGTCATTTAATCTTCGCTAGGATATAACATATTGTTAGTGGCAGATGTTATTGGGAAAAGTGAATGTTAAACACCAAATTTCAAGAATACGAAAATGATGGTGTTCTAAACAATTCAACCTCCTAGTTCACCGACATTAATTAAGCTGGTTGATAATCATCGAGTTGTGAAAATATAACTTGTCAGTCCACGTCGTTCCGATCAGTAAAATTTCAATGCAGTGTTGCACAATGTTCCATCAGACAGTTGACCGAGAGAGTAGTACAGATTGTTTTGTAAGAACGTGGCATTTATCCAATTCTCTGTTGTAAGTGAACATTCTGTTCTCCAGAGTTATTTTTCATGACCTACTATTTGAAATGTCATTGTAAATAACGTACAGTGATCATATGAATAATGGATTTGTATAGATACATAATGAATAATTTCCACTCACTGGTCAATGAGAATGACTCTACAAATAATTGATGCTTAATTTGAGCACTCATAGACGTTCAACACATTAACCAAATTTGGTTTTGTGGGAACACATGCTAGACTGAATTGCAGATTGAAAAGAAATAACTACACTCTTTCATTGATTACGTATTTCAATTATCTTACCATACTACTTGGTATTGTACAGTAGATTAAATGATTATCAATCAATTTGAAGCCTTCCTCTCTGATTTCTTTATTGAAATGAACTGCTCATCTTAAATATTGTTGTCGATTTTTCTGAAGTTTCGAACCACTTTACTGTTTGCAGTTGTATCGCCTGTCTCATTTGATTGTTTACTCCCTTTGAAGTATCTTACTACTCTGTAGAAATTTACTGTAGACAGCTTGTTTATTTCGAATCGATGGATATTGATTCACTCTGTTAACTACTTATATGCTTCTTAGTCTGTTGAAAAAATGAGACATAATACAGGGAAAACAGGAATTTCAGGATACTTGAATGTTTATTAGTGAATTAGGAAAGGAGTTTTCATGGATAATTCACTTATTACAATCCCTTCATTTGATCACATTATCTGATGTCGAATATAGTTATATCATCACTTTTATCTTATTCCTCACTTGACTCGTATACAAGTTGAATTTGATTGCATAGGTAGTTTACATGGTGAATTGAACTGTTTTCAACTTATACTAATAAGCATTTACCGGTTAGCTTAAAAGTGAGACTTGTGAACTTTGAATATCCACATGAACGATTGCTTGTAGCCAAACATTAATTTAGGTAAACGTTTATTGTTTATATTGCACAAAGTTAGCGGATAAGCTTCGAAGGATTTTGTTCAAGATAAGAGATGAAAATGATTAGCTGTATGAGTATCATACTAATTGAGTTGTAGATTTTGAATTACGTCTAAATTTGAACAATACTCCGTTGTGCTATCACACTATATAATAGGTATATACTTTGTCCATTAAACTATGCAACGCAATTATATTCGATAGAGTAAATCTCTAGTACCGAGATATAGTAGATATTGTCAGATTTTGTATATACTTTTACTTATTAATTGACTGACTGACTCAATAAATGACTAGCTGACTGATCGTGGATAAACTACCATTGTAAGCCAGCAAACATTGCATTGCTGTTTTTCTTAGTGAATTTTATATAGGACAATGTGCAATAAACTAGCATAACGTCAGGGGTTATTCTATGAAGAGCACAGGATCTCATATGTATGTCTCCAATAACTGGATGCGAACAGGAGAGATTTTGATATCTGAATATTTGGAATTAGCATAGAATAATATTCTCCTTTGTAAAATGAAAACCAGATATTTGGAGTGAAAGCGAATTGGTGACATTGAATAAATAGAAATGATCTATGTCAGTCAACGCTATGATGGTAAAAGTTTCTCTGTGATTGTCGTTTCAATGATGGATTTAGTGCAACAACTATATCGATGCCCAATTACCACTAACTATTTCGTTGTGATACACCAAAATGTGTTTGTGCACATGATGATTTGAGTTATGTGAATATGGAATATTGGACTGTGTATGAGTGATTCTCTGTGGTTGACTCAGTTACATAATACATTGCATGACCTACTTCTCATGAATGGTGTGTTTTGTTACTGGTAAGCAATATTAGGCAAATTTGATTGTAATGCATGACCGATGCGGATCAAGAAGCAGCTTTTGTACTCTCAAGAACAAATATTTGAGTACTGATGATGATTAGTTTTCATTCAGCTACCTAGTGGTCAACAGAATAGTATAGACCAAATATTTGGAAGGCATTTTGTAGTACATGTTTTGCTGAACAGACCAAACAAAAATCCAAGTCAAAGTGACATGGAGCCTTACGGATAAACATCTCCATTACATTCAAGATAAAATAAATAACGAGAAATCAGTGAATGTTATACTACCTTGTAGATTACTGTATTTTCGTAATAAATTACACATCGATATTTGATATGTTCTGGTTGACTGGAATGAGCCAACTGTTGCCTACAGTCACTGAAATTCAATATTTCCATCGTCACCTCAACACTACCTTCCTGATGCTGATTGGCTTAGCACTATCACTAAATTTCAACGTATATTCAGAAGGGTGGGAATGAAGAATAGGGACGATCCGATCAGGTTTGTAATGCTATTTTATCACTAAACTTTATAGTTGAAATAAGCACATTGACTACAGTATTCCACTTTCTGAAAGTTTCCAAAATGTTTTCAGAACTTACATGCAAATAGGGAAGTTCGACTGCTTATTTGATAATGTATGTCACGTAATTTAAAGATAAACTTCAGAATGCTTTATTCAGCTGACAATTGTGTGAACATAACAAGTCTATTAAATTCAAATTCATTTTACTCATTTGAAACTGGTATTTAGATAGCTGATACTTTAAGTAATGGACTGAGTCATACGACCTGGTTTGACCTTATTTACTGATACAGGCAATGTCACAGCTATTGAAAGATATCTGAACTGTTTCGAGGTGCTCACAAGTCGAAATAGGGACATTTGACTGAACATGTTCCAATAAATATGTTTCGACAATTGTGTTTGATCACCAAGTGATGGTGTATAATAGCTATTTTGTAGATCCATTGAAAACCTATACAAATTCATTATTCATAAGATAACTGTACGATATGTACAATGACATTTCAAATAGTAGGTCATGAAAAATACCTCTGGAGAACAGAATGTTCACTTACAACAGAGAATTGGATAAATGCCACGTTCTTACAAAACAATCTGTACTACTCTCTCGGTCAACTGTCTGATGGAACATTGTGCAACACTGCATTGAAATTTTACTGATCGGAACGACGTGGACTGACAAGTTATATTTTCACAACTCGATGATTATCAACCAGCTTAATTAATGTCGGTGAACTAGGAGGTTGAATTGTTCAGAACACCATCATTTTCTTATTCTTGAAATTTGGTGTTTAACATTCACTTTTCCCAATAACACGTAACACTAACAATTGATATTGAACATCAAAGCATGTCGACCAACTGAATTTCGTGAATCAACTGATAACATGCAAACACACACAGGGACTCGTCTACAACGCTTCATCATCACTGTGTGAAATTATTTTCGTGTCTCGAATCAATTAATTCTAATTCCTAATACTATAAAACAAAATGAATGGTGATCTTCAATTTTGTTAGTTTACGGAAATTCAACATACAGTATGTTGTCTATATACCAATACAAGACATACCACATAGAGAACCGGAAATCATCATGACAGTTGGTTGGGATTGTATCATGAATTACAAACTATTAGCATAACTATTAAATTCCAGTGGTTTTCAATGAATTCCGTGACATAACTTCATGAGAATAGAATTAACCGATAAGTGGACAAAGCTTCGTGGATGCACATTAACAACATAAACCTCACAACGGATCATATCAAATTGGACAAACCTACTCATATATTAACCAATATGTTTTTCTGAATGCATTCGTATTTCCAGCTGTACAAATCGATTTGGTTCTCCAAACACATGTTGATGAGAGCAGCTCATTACTATCACATATATCAAACCAATCACCAAGTTGATTTGGTTCCATATACAATCGAACACATTGTGAGATTGTATTTCTCCAATTCAGTAGACTTGATGATTTATTCGATGCACTGGTATTGCTGTTTACCTCAGTTGTTGTAGGGTTGCTCATAACTGCATACACAGTTTGATAAAAAATGACTGTGACGATGAAGAACAAATTGACTAACATTGTTCAACTAATTAATTGTGGAAGTGAAATTGGTTTATATTATGCACAACACAGTAG